TGAACAAAGGAGATTTCTGAGGATCTCCGAAAAACAGTTGTTGATGCTCACCAGGCTGGAAAAAGTTGCAAAACTATTTCCAAACTGTTTGGACTCCACCAGTCCACTGTTAACCAGATCGTATACAGATGGAGGCAATTCAGCACCATTGTTACCCTCCCCAGGAGTAGTTGACCAACCAAGATCACAGCAAAAGCAAGGTCTCAAAGAACCGCAAGGTAGCTTTTGAGAAACTTAAGGCGTTTCTTACATTTGTGAATGTCAATATTCATGAGACCACCATCAGGAGAACCCTGAACAACAAAGGTGTACGTGGTGGGGTTGCAAAGAGAAAGCCAGTACTCTCCAAAAAGAATGTTGCTGCCCATCTACAGTTAGTGAAAGACCATATGAATAAGCCAGAAGTGTATTGGAAGAATGTTCTGTGGATGGAGACCAAAATATAATATTTTGGCTTGAATGAAAAGTGTTATGTTTGGTGAAAGGCGAACACTGTATTCCAGAATAAGAACCTTATCCCATTTGTGAAACGTGGTGGCAGTATCATGGTTTAGGCCTGCTTGCTGCCTCTGGACCAGGCTGGCTTGCCATCATTGATGGAACTCTGAATTCTGAATTGTACCAGCAAATACTGCAGGAAAAACGTCAGGGTATCTGTCCATGAACTGAAGCTCAAGAGAAAGTGGGTCATGCAGCAAGACAACCCAGAAACACAAGTCAAAAACCAAAAAATGGTTAAAGCAGAAGAAAGTTAATGTTTAGCATGGCCAAGTGGGCAGTTCATATGAGGAAGCCCACCAACATCCCTGAGTTGAAGCTGTTGTATAAGAAGGAGTGGGCTAAAATTCCTCTAGCTGATGTGCAGGACTGATCAACAGTTATAAGAAATATTTTGTTGCAGTTATTGCTGCTGAACTAGTTACCAAAAGCAAAGGTTCACATACTTTTGCCACACAAATATGTAGCTTTGGATCATTTTCCTCAATAAATTAATGAAGAAGTATAAAGTTTTTAACTCATTTCTTTAATTGGGTTCTCTTTCTCTAGTTTTAGGACTTGTGTGAAGAACAGAGCACATGTTAGGTCATATTTATGTATAAATATTGAGAATTCAAAAGGGTTCACAAACTTTTAAGCACCACTGTGTATCTTATTTGAAAGTAATTATAATTTTCAGCTTTTTAAAGGTATATGATTTTATTTCTTCTATAAAAAGACTGTTATTAATTGAAAGATCCTGAGTAAAGAACTAGATGGAGGAACAGCTAATACAATCTTGAAAATATCAGAAGTTTTTCCCGCTAGTGAAAAATCAAGTAATTTTTAGCATATTAAATATTGTTCAATGTTCTGTATTATGGTAAATAGAAATAAGTGGTTTGACTTGTATCTTGTAATGTATATTGATAGCTTATGTTTTGAAATGTTCTTTTGCCACTTCAAATATTTGAAAAATCATAGCTTAGGAAAAATTAAATGTCTTAAATAATTTCTATCTGCTTTGTTTATCTTTCTGCTTCCTTTTTGTCTGGCAGTCTCAGCTACAACATTATTTTCTTCATCTGTGAATTTCCATGCTTCTGAATGCTGATGGGATTTAATATTCAGGCATACTGCTTTATGTCAGGCATTAATTTGGAATACCTGCTCATAATAAAACAAACTTTGTAAAGTTTCAAACAATGTTAATATTGGCTACTGTCTTGGACCTATTTTTCCACATTTGCAGGGTATGTTCCTTGCCACTTCTTGCAAATGTTATTCATTGTTTGATTTTTGTTATGGTAAATATTACTTACATAAGAACTTCACTGAACCATAGAATTGATAATGGAAAGTTATATTTAACCAAAGTAAATAATAAAGCAGCATCTATTAATTTTAGTAAAATAGATTTAGATTAGATCATGATTTAAGTGATATTTACATAATTATATACTTTCTTGTTTCTCAAATTGTCCATTAATTACAGGATTGTAGCAAAAAAGTACATGCCAATTCTTCTTTAGTTAGATTTTAACGCACATGTTCCTTTTCACCATATTTTCTTAATAAGTGTTTATTTAAAATGAAGTTTTTATATACTAATATAAAGTGTTTCTCTATAAAATGTACCTCAATATTTGTTTTACAATATGGTGTGATAAAATGGATACAATTTTATGGTATTTGTTTAGCTTAGTTTACCTTAGCAGCATATTATCTGGATATGTTATTTATAAGTCTTTTTAAGGCAGGGAAAGGAAATCTTTTAGTGGCCAGGACCACTTTTGGGGAGATTGTGGATCACATTGGGCAGTTAAGAATGTAAAATAGGTGAGGGCAGTTTACACATATGTCTGCTCTTGATTTTCTAGTAATTTTTCAGGGTTTTTTGGGGGGAGGGGGATTTCTTTAACAATGTAAGCCTATTTCAGGCTTGCATTATAGTTTTGTGTTTTCAAGCCTGAAGTGGGAGATTGCCTTTTAGCAACCTTACCAGAAATCAGCAGTGTGGTTGAGGGAAACTTTAGGGACAACGAAAAAGGTGGGAAGATAGGAGTTTTGGACTCCATGTTGCCTAAGGAAAGGAAGAAAGCGGGAATACATTTTGCAGATATAGGCAATTGTAACACTTAGGTAATACTGGCATATAAAATAATTATATATTTTCCTAATGTTTTGATTTTGGAAGTCTGATCTTTTTGAGGCAATTAATTCACATTCTGAAATTCTGAAAAATAAGGTTCTTAAATGCTAGATCTATTTCAGTTAGTATATTCATTTCACATTCTCTTCATTGCTGCATTTATTCTTTATGTAATGATTATTCTCTCTCCTAATAAAGGCACAATTTCCAAGCATATTATATTAAGTTTACATTTAATTTACTGTTGTGGCCTGCTTTGCTTAAAATATGATTATCCATGTAGGTTTGCTTCCTGTATACCTGCACTGTTTTTACTCTCCAAACCCCCAGAAGTACTTAGAAAAAAGTTAATTTCTGTCTTCACTTCTGTCAGCTTGAAATACTGTAAGCCAGGAGCAGATAGCTCTGTTACGTCCTGAATTGTTACAGCTCCTACAACAAAAATAATCCTATCACCCTAAGGTTATACAGAAGGTTAAGAAGAAAAGAAAAAAGACTCTTTCTATATAACCTATTCTTGCTAAACATAAGTGAAAAATTGACTAAACATTTGGTCAATTTTACTCCTGCATCTTTTTTCAGACCTTGAGAGGAACCTGCAAAGCTATGGGGGTAGCATTTCTCTTACAGGGCCTGAAGCTCAAGTGCCAAGAGAAGGTCTTAGGCAAGAGTTCTCTCCAGAGGCATAATGAAGCCAGCTACTAGTGAGGGTAGGGAAGGCAAATTTTGCATCAATTTCGATTTGTTGATTTCTGGCTCAGCTGCCCTTAATACTAGACAAGTACTAAAATTATTTTCATATCCTTCTTGCAGAAATGATAGATTCAGTTCTGGTAAGAGAGTTGGTTTTCAAATAGTAAATTAGAAAACTAATTTTGTAAATGTCATAAATATGAATTATGTAGATCTTTGAAAGAAAAGAGTTGAAATACACACTTTAATCTTGAGTGATGTTAGTAATCTGTTAAATGTACTTTTAGCTCTAATACATCTAAAAAATTAGAATTTTGTCTTTAATCAAGGTAATTTTGCTTCATGTGTAAATTATTATTAATCTGTTTTACAAGGATATCTTTATTTTTGAAATTTCAAAAAAAGCATTTACACCAGTTCAAAGTTACTGCAATTGCACAATTAATTGCAATTCTGAAATAGTGGTAATTATACAAAGGGGTGTTTCTTAAGTGCCAAAACATATCTTAAGGCTTTTATATTTAGAGTCATTCCTGTGAATTTTCCTATAATCATTTTGAAAGAGTTAAGAAGAATGATATAAGTTATCCTTTTCTAGCTTTTAACAAATTATATCTTGTAATTTAGAATTAATGATGATTTGAATTCATGGAAATTAGAAATGTTAACTCTATAAACTCTGGCTGCTAGGAATAAATGACTTTTTCCTTAATTTTTCATTTGGAGAAAGAGACAACTTGCAATATTTTTTCAGAGGACAGACTTCTGAACTGCAAAGCCAGCTGTATCACACATTTGTGAATCAGGATCTATAGGATCATTGCAAAGCTCATAACTTGAGGCTTATGAAGATATTTTATTTTATTTTTTTCTGACTTTCTCTTCCTCTCTGACAACAGCCTAACAAATTCTTCTGGAAGGGAAACTATCGTCATCCCCATCACTGCTATATACTTGCCACATGGGCATGAAGGCCAATAGGGCAACCATTTTTTTTTTATTTCTTTTTTAGGATTGCTACACTTTCATTGAAATCCTGGTATATAGATAAACTACTTCAACCAATTTCCACCTAGCATTTATTCTAAGGGATCCTCTGTGATAAATAAAGAAGGATCTATAGGAATCAATGTATTTTTAGTGTCATTGAAGTTGGAATTGGATCAGCCAACCCTTAACTTACTGTTAGCATTTATGTTTACATTAATAGAAATTTTAAAATGCTATAGCCGAATAGTTTTCCATGATGCATTTGCATCTAATGTATGCACGGCTTCCTACTTCTTACTATATATTTATAGTAAAGAAAGGTGTGTTTGTGTTTTGCTTTGACTTGTTTGTTTTGTAGCAGGGATGGGTAGAACTTTACCATGCATGGCCATTTTGTTGAGCTCATGTATGGTCTGATAATGTCTTGTAAGCTTTTGATCTCTATTATTACATACAGCTCTCTCTTGAAGAAATCCAAAGTTTCTAAATGTTGGCTACACATGTTATGTTAACACATGTTAACTTTTAAAAAGATGGTGCTGTTTAGAAAAGATTCTTCTATGTCTGATTTTCAAACATCTGGGGGTGGGGGAGGATGATATATGGAAAAAAGGAGCAACCAGTATTTTGAGGTATTACATGCTACTAAATATTTATTATATAATATATATTTTTGTTACTTCCATAGTCTTAATGTGAATTCTGAAAACTCTGAAGAATTTCAAAAAACAGTGGTAAGTAACTACTTGATAGATATTCCATTTGATACTCGAGAGAGTATATTCCTTTTAAACACTTTGTTGTTTTTAGCTGACTGTTTGAATCCCAGTTTAATAGTATAAATGTGCAGATTTTCTTTCCTAAATTAATCCAGAACCCCATATAGTCCAACATGCTTATCTCTTTGTTGGGACTGGGCAGTTCAGAAACAGAGGTTGTCTTTTCTTGTTGGTTGTTCTGACATGTGATATACAGAGATCTATTACCTCAGAATAAATATGGTTAGTAGTTTAAAGGTATAAATGACATGTTCTTCATGAATCTATGGTAAGTGGTTTCATAGATTAAATCACATATTAAAAGTTTGTGTGAAAGGCAGGATCATGCAGGCTAATACTACACCTAATATGCACAAGAAGGGATTCTGTATGCATACTTACATATTCTCTTAATGTTCTTAGGTATGAGGGGAATAACAATTGACTTAAACTTCCTAACTTAAAAGGGATATACATAATGAGTTTGCATTGGTATAAATATAGGCTGCTTCTCACACTTACTGAATACATATGGATCATATGACTGACCTGCACAGAGTGCTATTCTCTTATATTAGGATGGGCAATGTTTTAGTGCTTGGAAGCTGTACTTTTTTCTAGGGGCAAAGGCTACAGTGGATGAAACACTGTGAATGATGGGCAGAGGAAGAATCACATACCATAATTGACGGGGACCAGGGTTTATTGCTTTTTCTCTTTTTGGGGAGAGTTTAGCTTCTTTTAAGGCTGTTTTTAGCCTTTTAAAAATAAACTTCTGCCTTAAAATGGGAATAAGTTGCTTTGCCAGTTTTAAGCAGTTGCAGTATATGATGTTCTGGCAGCTACAAAAAAAAAAAGGTTCAAGGGTCACAGCTGCCCATCCTTGCTCTATGTTAAACAAAAATTAATTATCTAATCTTATTTATGTTGCTGCATACTTCCCCCCCATTTCTTGCTTTCTAAGATGAAGAGATTAACCTCCCTAGGCCTCTATTTATACTGAATGGATTCATACTTCTCAACTATATTACCTGCCATTTTTCACCTTGGATATATTTTTTAATTGGGCAACTAGATACATAACAACATTGCCTCGTACAGGTAGATACAGTTGGTATGTTAGATGCTGCTATTCATTGAATTCATTTGAATATACTGTATATTTTAAGGAGCAAATATATTGAAAGATAATAGAAGTACTGGAAGATGACAGTGCGTGAGCACTTTTGAACCTAAATTCCCTGATCTCTTTTTATCCTTTTACTTTTTGTTTATTTGAAGATAATATAGTCAGTTATTATTTCCTAAATCCAGTTCCTGTGGGTCTTTTTAAGTGGTTTAGGAGAGTTAATCCAAGTGTGAATTCTAGATTGGTTAATAAATACTATAAGATGGTAATCAAGAAACATTTATTTATTTATTAAAAATAAACATTCTTAGTCTTAAAAGACTCCAGGTAGTGCACAAAGAACAACAGCGACAAACCAATACAAAAAAAGAGAATGTAATTTCAGAATTACTGGAAAAAAAAAAAATTTGCAGGTAGTCTTTGCTTAATGCCCCTAATTGGGACTGGAATTTCCATCTCTAAGCGATGTGGTCATTAGGTGAAACATCATGTGACCACACCGCTTAGTGATGGCAGTTTCAATAGTCCCAGTTGCTGTTATTAGGCCAGGACCACACCGTGGTTAGGAAAGGATCTCATGCTTTTCCTACCCTGCTGCACTTGCCTCTGTTTCCACTCATCCCACCCACTTCTTTCCCCCTCTCTGCCCTTTTGGGCCCCCTGCATTCTGCTGCCCCTGCTGTCCCCACCAGCCTTCGCCATCTTCTTCCTCCCATTGCTGACGAAGCAATCTGGCCTGGCCCTTTGCACCTCATCAGGAGGAGGAAGACGGCTTGGTACAGGTTGGAAAGGGCAGTGGAGTGCAGGGCAGCCAAAAGGCAGAGATGGGGGGAGACAGGTAAGTGGGGGGAGTTGAAGTGCACCTGTGGTCATAAATATGGGGCACTGCCAAGTGCTTGAATTTTGAGCACATGACAGCGGGGGTGCTGCAATGGCTGTAACTTTGACTGGACGTAACTACCATTTGTTCAGCACCCTCATAACTTTGAATGGTCGCTGAATGAATGAATGAATGAATGAATGAATGAATGAATGAATGAATGAATGAATGAATGAATGAATGAGGACTACCTGTACACATCAAAACATCTACCTTTGATGAGTCCCACCAATCAGGCCTCAACAGTTCAGAAGGCCACAAGAGATGGAGCATCCCTTGCCTTGTGGGGCATGCTGTTCCACAGGAAGGAACTCTCACAAGAATAACTGCTTTCAGGTCTCCTCCAATTATACTTCTTGGTATGTAGGGACTTTCACCAGGCATTCTCTGTTCATTTGTATTGGGGGGGGGGCAAAATAAATCAGTAATAGGTGGTGATATAGATACCTAGGGTCTGAGCTACATAGGATTTTATAGGAAATAATCAGCATCCTGAATTGCATTCAGAAAAAAAAAACTGGTACCCAATATGGTTCCAACAGCAATGTTGTTACAAGATAGTAAGGTCTATACCTGCTGCATTTTGTCCCAGTTGAAGTTTCTGGGTGCTTTTTTAAGAGCAGCCCCATGTAAAGCAATCTATAGTAATAGGGAAGCGAGGAGGGCATGAGTGACCATCTTTAGTGCCCCTGTTCTGTTTTTCAAGCAGAAATCATGAGTCCAGGAGGAGTCCTAAATTGTGAACATGCTCTCCATGGGGAAACACATCCCATCAAAGATGGAGTCAAAGATAGTATAGTCCCACAATCAGAAGAGATCTAAATGAATAGCCACTTCATCTATGGACTCTTAGGAACTTCATAAACCTTCATAAACCCTCATGAAAAATAAAAAGGTTCTTAAATGCTAGATCTATTTCAGTTAGTATATTCATTTCATCTGAAGAGTCAGAAGAATAATAAATGTGGCACCAACTCAGCAGCCGTAAAAAATCCCTCTTCAGTTCAAACATGGCAATATTATAGCCTGTTCTATAATAAATATAAATTTGGTATTCCCTTGTTTAAAGAGAATGCTGTTTGTCCAGACTGTGCTGAAGCTGTCACTTATTTTAGAATCAGTTCATTAGATTTGGTGAGCCATTTATTTGGGAAGAACACAACTGAACTCATTGAGTGACCACATTTATATTTAGTAGGCATGCATAGCAAATTTCATTATTTACCCAATATTTCATAACTTTTTATTTCTGCACATATATATTATTTAGAACTATGTAACAAATTTCTTCTAATAGTTGTATTGAAGAACAGTTAGATACACTTGCAAAAATAAAAGTAAAACGCTATACTGTGTGTGTGTGTTTTTCTAGACTCTTGAAGTCCAAATTATGGGGAATACAATGTCTAGAAGGTATTTTATACAGGAAATTTGAAACATAATGATCATAAGAATTCCAATATAACAGACTTAACAAATACGTTTGTAGTAATTTAAATAATGTTCTTTCAATGAATTACATGATGTTTTCCTCAGGGAAGTAGTATTTTATAACTTTTATATTTTTTGCACTCTGTTAGTGGCAACACCTGTGACTGAATGAGAGATAGCCCGTTGAAAGGGCAATTTAAAGCCTAATTAAAAGCCAAAAGGAGAATGAAGAAGTAAAACAAGAGATGTGAAAGTGGTTTGGATTATATTCCCAAAGCAAAGTTCCTCATTAGAATAAACAAATGATCAAAGAATGCCAAGTTCAAATTTTATCTTTCCTTTTTCCAGTAATAGCTATCAGTTTGTACCCAAATAATACTTGATTATCAAGGCTTTCTCTACGTGCTTGCTAGTTTAAAACCGTCATTTTTTTCCCTACTCTTTATTTAATTTTATATCAGTATTATTGGGAAATGGCAACAGAATATTTATTTTTTGTTAATTTGTCCTCATTTACTGAACATGTTTCCATTTAAGATAGTAAAATCATACTGATCTCAGTCACTACATCAGTTGCATAGACATAGTTGTTTTACTTTAAAGTATGCATATGTTCTGATCTAAATGATCAGAAATGAACAAAATTTAATATATTCAACCATCTGGGGTATATAATTAAAATGGTATATCTTCTGCCAACTGTTATAAGGTTAGAAATATGACAAATTTTGGTTGTCTGAAATATGAACAGATTCTTTAAAGTGCTTATGAATGAATATACAAACAAATGAATTATTACTTTTATAATTAGGGGAGGGGGGAGTATGGATGGACATTTCTTTTAGATTTTGGAACCTATGTCTATGGTATTGTAAACATCTCCCAATCAGATATATTTATAAAGTTGCAGAAGACATAGATACTATCTTAATTGAGAAAATTTATAAAAGCAGATGAAATATAAACAGAAATAAATAAAACACTCCTTTTATTTTCAATTAATGATCAGGAGCTCAAAAAAATTAACAGTTGACTGATTCCATAATTTGCAGCATTTATGTTGCCTTGCTCACTCACCCATTCTAATTAGCTTTATTTCAACTTTCCACCTGCATATTTTAATGATATGATAGGTGCCAAACTTTAAATGGAAGTAATTTAAATGAAAGGGATTGAAACTAAATTATTGTGTATTTGATGTGGTTGGCTTTCTAAATCACTGCTGGGTTTTTGTTTGTTTTTTTGTGATAGTCTTCAGATATAAACAAAAAGCTTCCCATTTGTTATGAGAGTTGAAAATCTGATTTAAAGGCTGAATGATACATAGTTAAATATGTCACATTCATGGCAAAAATTCTGTTTTTTACTAGTGGACATGTTGACGAATTTGCTTTTATGGTTACTACGTAAGAGCTTTTTTATTTGTACACAGCAGCAAGTATTACAATTTCATTTGAGAAGCAGTGTATAATACTTTAAATAAATAATAATTTGTTTTCATTGTAATGTTTTAGTCAATCCAATAAACTGATTTTTTATTCAGATTTATTTATATTGATACAATGGAGCTTAATTTTAAATGGGTGTATATATATAAATACACAGTAAATGAAGTAATCCATGCATATTCAGTAACTTAGTATACCAAACATTTCTTTTACTCTTTTATTTTTTAAAATTAACTTAAAATTCTGTATGTATCACCAGCAGCTATATTGCAATTTTGGTAATTTCTCGCTGTCCTTAAATTTAGATATTGCAATGAACTTTGGCCAATCTGGAAGAAGAACATTTATATGCACAGATTAATTAGTTCCCCTGCAATATGCCTCTTCCAAGTATTCTGATGTTTCTGTTACAACTTTGGTAGAACTAAAAATGTACTTAGACAAACAAGGCTTTAGAAATACCATAAATCTTTGTCTCCTTTCTTAAAGATTCAACTCTGAAAGAAAGGCAGTTCACACACTGATTTTTATACATGCCTTGGATAAGTAATTCCATTCCTTACATTACCATGATAGACAAAGATTGGTGTATAAAATAGTAGAGATAAGGCATCCAGAACGGAGCAAAGGAGAATTTGCATACTCTTTCTTCAGGTCACAGAATTAGAACATGTTGTCAGATGATAAAGATATATAGGACAGATATTGTGGTGGTTCAGCTCAGAGATGTTTGCTGTTTTTCAAACTGCACAGAGATTTTCCAGTCATATTCTTCATTCATCATGTAGCAGTCTAAATGCTTCAGATACAAGTCTGTAATCTTGCCAATGTTCATCCAGTTTTGCATGTTAGAAAGTAATTGTATACATCTAAATATTTCACTTATTTTTAAATATCATTTATATGTATACCTATACATCTCTGTTTATTAGTTTGAAAAGTTTCAAAAGGCAGAAGAATTCATTGATATTTATCACTAAAGATCTAAAACATTAGTTGATGATTTGAATGCATTGTGGTCATCCAGATAAATAAGCAAGCAAGAGCATTTTTATATGATAGATTTTATCTCATATATAATACTTTATATTTCATTCATTCAGTTGCAGGTTATTGAATGACCTGTGTGGTTTCTGTGTGTGTGAATTAGCCCTAACTTGCTGTTTAAATATAGAAAGTGATAGATACAAGCAAATCTTAAAATAGAGCCTGAATTCATTAAAAGCAAGCGTGTAGAATTATCTCACTGTTGGGAAGCAACCAAGAAATGTTTTTGAACCACGTCTATTATCCGTTTTAATCATTTTGGGTTCTTTTCAAATATAGACTAGTTCCCTTGCATCATCATCTGCCAGGAAAGTGGGAAATATTCCAGAGAAATGTTCACTTAATAACACTGCACTGTGGGTCCCAGATGGAGGCCTGTTTCCCTTAGATCTCAATTACAATCTGCTCCTGCTTTTGGTGCAGACCAACAGTGAGAGATGGAAAAATTGGTGTACTGTAAATTCCTTAGTATTTATATTTTACTGCAACTTTCTCATTGAACTTCTGCCAGAATTAATCAGCAGAATCATTCTGATGGTTGCAGAATTCTCCTAGGACCTGGTTTTATTTATTTGTTTGTTGCTTTTTTTGTGTGTGTGTCCTAATTTTCAATTAACTAGCTGCTCACATCAACAGAAAAAAAAAGAGAGAGAGAAGTCCCGTCATCAGGTTTACAAACTAAAAAAACCACGATATACAAGCAAGGGGAGTGGAGGAGATCAAGGCCAGAACAAAGTGATAAGCTGTACACAGGATTTGTGACCATCTGGGCAAGCTTAATCTTTTCTTCCTCTTATTTCTTGAACAACAATTAATTGTTCCTGTTTCCTTGGCTTTTTCCCTTACCTTTGCAGGCCCAAGTCTACAGGTAGTTGCAGCTAAGGGTCTCTATATAGAAAGATATAGCTGCTGTTTTTCTGGCTTGTGAATGTAGTCAGAAAATGGCTCTAGAATCCTTAACTGATAGCAGAAACCACAGTATGTTCTTTCTGTTTGTTTTCTTGTACCAGGACAGTTTTTCCCATACCATTGACCAGTTGGACAATGGCTATGTAAATACAAATCAGAACTGAACTTATATTGAAAAAATTTGTACAGCAGTTTTGATAGAAAAAGTAGAAATATAACCAAATCTTATAAATCTTAATGCTCAGTAGCTGATTTGAGAAAATATGTGATGCAATTGTTGCCTGCTTTTACATATAAAGAACATTACACTTTGACTGGGAAACACTTAAAATAGCTTTCCTGAATTGTTTATGGCCATGCCAGTTATAAGAATTACACGCATAGCTTGCATGGAAAATTTGTACACGGAAAGAGACATATAGTGAATGGTTCTAAAATTGTATGGCTAAAATTGCCTGTGATGTAGAAATATTACTAGCAGCTTCAACATGGCAATGACATAAGAACTAATCCTTGGTTTTCACCAGTCCATATAATGTATATGACATAGTTACTATATCTGATGTTCTCTGTATTTCTTTAGAAATGGGGGTTCTGATGCAGCAGTAATTCATTAATTCATGAAGTTTGTGACCACTGTACATTGCCATCAAGTGCTATGATGATGGAGTTAGAACAGTGTTGAAATTACATGAACGGGATATGGAGGAGAAGCTGGGTTAAATAAGCTGTTTGCTATAATATTTTTGAAACTTATTTGTTGTAGCTTTAAGAAAGAAATGGGTCTTGACAGCATAAAAATGCGTTTGCAGTGTTTATACAAAGGTGTTTGCCATAAGTGCATTTCTTTGCTCCTCTTTATTTAAATGTGCTGATATAATGCATGCTATACCTCAGTGAGAGAAATTGTCATGTGAGGGTCTGATTCACACTTTCTCTTCTTGGTACATTACTTCTATTAAGACAATGCTTCTAGTTCTGTCGTATTAAAAAAAAAACTTTATTCTAGGATGGAAATCCTTTTGATGCTGCAACAGGATATCATAATCTTACATATGAAGAGGTCTTACAGGAGTTGATGAAACACAAAGAACAACTTAAGAAAAAAGATACCCACATTCGTGAACTTGAGGATTATATTGACAATCTTCTAGTACGAGTAATGGAAGAAACTCCAAGTATTCTACGTGTACCATATGAACCTTCTCGTCGAGCTGGCAAATTTTCAAAAACCTAAGCCAATGCCAACAGTCCTTGGTATTAATTAAGAGGATGGATTGCTTAGTGCAGTGTTTTGATATTGTAAATTTCATGTCCATGCTTTATCCTGAGAGTGTTTGACTCCAAACTTCAGTTGGTATTGTCAGTTCTTGAAATCTATATATAAACTCCAGGTTTTCTAAGGTGAAATGTAAGATCCTTTTGCTGCAAAACATCCCTTTACCTTGAACATGTACATCCTGGTCTGTTTTATTTTCAAAATATTATAGCTAGCTTGGATATCACTGTACAGTAGTCATCCAACATACATACTTGAATATTTATTTTGCACTTCAATTAATCACTTTGAAGTTACAGCATGCTGTCAGAGTGAATGTACATAACCAGAATGTGTTTTGCAGCTCTTAATATGAAGGAAAATGTGATAATGTTGTATTTTAGAAATCACTAATACATGAGGGGATAATACATCTTTGCATAAGGAAGTGGACAGTATTGATCCTTAATGTAGAACTTATTTGAAACAATTATATTTGTGCTCTTGAAGAAATACGGGCTTTTGAAATGGCAAATTCCATAATCTGTATGGATGGAAAAGGTCTTAGTATATAAAGGTACAGCATACCATTGGGTTAAGCACACGTATGTAATTTTAAAAAGAGTAATAAAGCAGAAGAAACTAATGAATAATACCTCATTTGTTTAGACTATAAAAGGTATGGGGAGAAAAGCTGACAGGGATGTAACATTCTAAATAGTATGTCAAGTCAGCCTATACATGTGTGTTTAGGGGGAGATGTGTGTGTGCATGCACACACACATGCAAGTACATAACCAATGCATAATTTGGGTTCTGCAATATTTCAAACGGGAAATTGAGATTTACTTGTTTGTATTTGCCAATATAGGAAATTATTTTTTAAAATAGATTGCAATTATTTCAGTACTGTATTCTGTGTCAGAGTCAAATATTGTCCTTCATTAAAGAGTGATGGATATATTTGATTCAGCATGTCTCTGACTAGATAACGTTTATGTACATTGTTGTGTGTCTATTTCAAAGTGGTAAATGCAATTTTAATGGAAAATATTGCCATAAAGAAAATATTGTTTACTATACTGTAATCAAACAGTTCCTTTATTTTATAAAAATTTCAGGCAGAATGTTTGCTAGTGTGAAGTGCAAATAGGCTTAGACATAAGATGGATGCAATGTTGGGAAGAATTGAATGGTTTTTTGTTCAATTTTCTTTTCCTTTTGATTGTGTAATACACATTTTACATACACAAACATATTGACGATTTCTATGGAGAAAAATGGGAAAATATTTTCCCTTTTTCAGAATAATAATAAACTTCAGAAAGTTTTGATTTTGATAATGTATTATTAATCAAAACCCTTTTGTAACTGAAATAGAATAGATTAGTAGTATTATCAGAAGGAGCAAGAATTTCTTCTTAAATATCCTCACCCACATTAAGCAGCATCTTGTGCCATGAACAGAGATCCCATTTCAATTATTAGGCTTTGGTTTATTTTTCTATATGGTGTGGAATACACAAATAAAACTACTTGAAGTAGTTTGCATACAATTTTTCCTCTGTAATTCAAATAAAGGACAAATCCTAAGCTCTCCTTTATTTGTTAATATTAACTTATGCATTTAAAATAGATGTTTATTTTCACAGTTTGTACAGAATATATTTTAAAAATCAGTTGGTGATTTAAAGCTTACAGATGTTGCACAGTAACACAGTTAATGACTTCCACTTATATTATTTAAACTCTTGGCCCATTAATGTTTAATCTGAAATTCCATTATATTAAATTCATTAGGCCCTTTCTTACAAGTGTTCCTCAAATATACCAGCTGAGTGTAAACCACAGTATGTACTGAATTTTTAAAATATTTAACTTTTTAAAACTTTTTAAGTTTTCAAATTATCTCTATCAATCTTAATGGGAAGTATCAACATGCTGGAGTGTAAAGTGTTTAATTCTTAGCAGAATTAAAATGAAATTAAGTTTTATGAAGGGTTTTGTTTTGTTTTGCATATATTCTCTAGTTTATTTTCTATTTGATACATAACTAAATTAAAGGATATTTTAAATTTACAGTAGTTAATTGTAAAAATCAGAAAAAGGCAGGTATATTAAAAGGCATCAGAAAATATATACAATGTAATGTATATAAATAATAGCAACTCTTTGTAAATTAAATGGCTCATGTACTAATATAATTTAAATGCTGCTTTGTGAGCAACTTCTTAAATGTCACTTCATTTAGTTTAGGTACATAATAAACTCCAAAACAGGTACAAGTATTCCTTTTATTTTAGGAATAAAAATAAAATTTGACAGAAGCAAGCACAGAGTACCAGCTATAATAGAAATTAGCAGGGGACTGCCTTTGAAAGCATAATTGTTGTGTCTGTGCCTCTTTAACAGTGTATAAGGCAATTTTGCTGTAAATGTGGTATTGGTGAAATCACAGCCAGTATTAATGTGTTTTCAGAGCCTCTGCAAAGCATATAATTCATTAATTTATTTAAAATAGAAAGCTGCCTCCAAGAATATTCCATACAAAATAGATATCTATTGAAATTACCTGATGGGCAATATTGGGAAAGCAGATATTCCACACACTTGTGATACCTTGCATGAACATTAATTTGAGCTTTATTACCACTTTTCATTGAATATAGAATTTTCCATAGATTATAGTTGGCTAATCTATTGTTTGCTGTAAATTGAGGACTATGAAAACATTGCCTTTTTCAATTGGAGTAATAATTTCTGTTAAGCATTTTAATGACTTATTCCCTTCTGCCTCTGCTAAACCTTTTGCTCAGATTCTTAAAAGAAATTAAATGTATATCTTAAAATTATTGCTGCACTGGAACATTATTAAGAAATGTATCATTCAAAAATTGTAATCTATCCAAAGGTTTGTGCACACGCTGTGCATTTGTAGAATGTTAGAAATGAAGATGTACGTATTTGAAAATATGTTTTAAGTATGTTAATTTCCTCATGCTTTCAAAGCGATTGAAGAAAGACCACAGCATTGATAGATTAAAAAAAGGCTGCTCTAGTTTCATTAAATTATTTTTCCTCCCAGGTATTCAAAACATGAGTTGCTTTCCAGGGTTCCCTTTTTTGTGAATGTCCAGTATAGTTCTAAATTTAGTTACTGTTATTAAAAGTATTTGGTAACCAACTGCTATGGCACTTTATCTTTTTTTTTTTTTACTTTTAAAAATAATTTTCAGATTGATTTAAACTAAGTAAATCATCACACCCTAAAGGACTGTTGGCCAACTATATCTCCTAAACATAGTATCAAAAGAATCTCAAGTACATATACAATTTGTCATGAATGATGTATCCAGTTCATTCAGCATGGATAGTTCCATTTTTTAGTTATTAGTATGATAAAATGCATAAACATATATAGCCATATATTACATTTTAGGACAGATCTTGCACAAAGAAAAGTTTAACTATTTTGGTGCACTACCATTTTCCCCCACAAAATGGAAAGTCATGATGTAAGTTGCACCTATGTGTGTAGAATGTGAAAATGCATGAACCATCAGTTTCGTTGCATTTGTAGTCTTCAACACTTTTTAAAAATCAAAATTGTAATCTTAAATTTTAGATTTTATCCCAGTGGTTATTGCATGTTAAGCACTAATAAAATGCCACTATGTACTCCAGTCACTTGTGTTGTCATTTTAATGTATTCAGTGCAATAAGAGTTTAAAATTCCAATTAATTGGTTCAGTGCCTGGTAAATCACTGACAGGAGACAAGCTGGGCACTGGACTCAATAGTTCCTGAGCAGGCACTTTTTGGAGATGGATCCTAATTTGCACCATGGTTAATTGAAGCCCTCCAGCAAAGTGAAGTGCCAGAAATGATGTCTGGAGCACCAGTGGAAAAAGACAAACAGATCTGAGTGAGCATGGTTACATGCTCATGTTAGAGCCTCCTCCATGGTGACAAGGGAGGCAAAGTGGACTCACTGTTGCATCAGCAGGCTGTCCTGCAGCCTTGCTTAGGGTAAATAACTCCCTTTTAGAGAGGAGTCATCTCCCAGTTGGCTGCTAAGATCAGTTTGCACAGTACTTTGCTGACAGAGTTGCTCGGAAGTGCCAAAATCTTGACTCATGGTCAGAATTTTTGTGGTGACTAGGGCACTGCCTTGCACTGCCTATTTCTTGGGATTCTCTTTGTCTGGTGAACTCCAAGGAAGTGGAGAGGGTGCTGTCTTCTGCCATATATACATAGTTTGGACCCCAACCCATCCTGGCTGTTGTGAGGAGTGAATGGAGAAATGAACACTTGGATCTGTGAGATTGTTAATGCCTTCCTGTGTGAGGAGAGCTGCTGAAAGTCAAGCAGGAGGTTGTGGTACATTCTCTGAAGAAAAGCCATCTCTGGATCCTTTGATCCTAGATTACAATTGGCCAGTCTTCAACCTTCTCTTTTGGGGAACTGGATGGAGATGATGCACCTGTCTTCTTCCTCTTAGATCTCTTGTGGCTTTTGATAGAATTGACCATGATAATTTACTGGACTATCTATGGGGATTGGGAAGAGGAAGCACTGTCTTACAGTGCTTCTACTCCTTCCTAAGTGGATGGTTATGGTCTGCTGTGGTGGGGAAATGAATGGACAGCCCAGTGGCCCCTGATTTATGGGATACCTATAGAGAATAAAGAGAATAATCTTGACAGGAAAGATCAGATAGAACCAACAAATGGATAATCATTGCAGAAGCCCAGATTTTTTTTGCCGGGGGGGGGAGGGAGGAAGCATCCCAAATTCACATGAAGGTAGAAGGAGAAGCACATTCAGACTTGTGAGATTCTGTTATAATAGCCAATATTAATATAACTCAATAAAAGTTTTAGGAACACCTGGCACCTGTTTCTTGGTCTGGTCTACCTTGTAGGGCTGACAGTACCTCATGGGTTGGTCCTCCCATGCTCTTGAACATCTATATCAAACCACTGGGGGAGGTCCAACAGTTTGAGCAATGTTATTGCTAGTATACTAATGATACACCCTGGGCTGTAGAGAAGATTCTGTTGATGTTCCGTCCTAGTGCCTGGAGGCTGTGACACTCTGGGTGAGATAAAACAGTCTGAAGTTGAATCCAAGCAAGGTGGACTTGCTGTTTTCCAACACCAGTGTTGTCTCTGCCTGGGAAGGCACTATCTCTGAAAAAGAAGGGTCACAATTTGGGGTCCTTTCTAAACTCATAGCTCCTGCTTGAGCAGCAAGTGGAAACTGGCTAGAACAGTCTTTGCGTAGCTTTAGCTTGTGTTGCCTTACCTGGTTCAGAAGGACTTGGCTATGGTAATTCATGCTCTCCTAACCAACTGGATAACTTCTGCAATGCACTTTATATATATATGCTGCTTTTAAGACTATTCGGATACTAAGCTGATCCAAAAAGCAGCGGCCCACATGTTAATAGGCTCCTGATACTGCAAGCAGGCAAAACCAATACTGTGGTCTGAGATACAATTTAAATTTCTGGCTTTAACCTATAAAGCCTGTCATGGCATGGCACCTGTGTACCTGCAGGACTGCTTTCACCAACCTGTATGGGAATCAACATACTAGAACATTAAGAGACAAACTCCTTGTGATCCCATTCTTCAGGAAGCCAAAGCAAGGAACAGTCGCCTTTTGAAGATCATGCTAGCTTCTTCCTTGATAGCCCCAGAAGGTTGATCAAAACTGAGCTTTTCTGGAGAGTGTTCCAGTGATGCTTATCTAGTGTGTCACCTTTTACTTTTTATTGTTATGTTACGGGTGGGTATTTTAGGATTTTGTTAATTTTTGTTTTAATCATACAATCGATGTTGTGCTTTGTTTTACTTGTTTGTTTATATCTTGTAAACTGCCAAGAGTCATGAGACTGAAGCAGAATATAAATTCAATAAATAAAGTTTTATCATACTGTACTGTGATGATGCTTTGGAAGGCTAATACACAGTCATTTGCAAAACTCAAGTGCATGGTACAAATTGCCCAGGACCTTGCATTCCATATTTTATTTTGAGTAACCCTGAGCATTGGCATGAGCCAGTCTTTTCAATCCTATTTACTCTCGGCTGGGAATTCTGCAAATTTCTTCCAACACATTTGGTAGGTACTAGTTTTGGAAAAGTAGTACCTGCCAAAAAATCTTCCCAAAAGATACTAATTTGGGAAGAAGAGAAAAGGGTAGTCATGACTGAAAAAATTATGCCCTATTCTTCAGCCTGAAAATCTGCCAGAATAGTTTAAGATTAATCAAATCAGGACAGTCTCAGTCTTCAGGATTGCAGTCAGAAAACACATAATATAGACAGAGAAGACACGGGAAGGGAAAATGAAAACAAGCAAATGCATTTGAAATTGTTACAATGTCCCTCTGGAAGAAAAATGGAGAGCTCACTGTAAACAGCCTGGTGAACAAATCTTCCTCAAGCTGAAGCAGCTAGATCTTGTTTTACAAAGTGGGGTTTGGGTCTCTAGAGACTAGTTGGAATTTACCTATTTCTAATTACTACTAAGAGAGTCCACCCTGAGCAGATGGTCTTGCTCGCCCTTCACTGACATCACAGTGCACTTTATAGAAGAGGGGATATTTGCCATCACTGCTCATTATGATCAACTGTATATTTCTTTGTAAGGCCTGACTGGCACCATAGGCTTCAGAAAATGCAAGAGAGAGATTTATATTAACCAGTCAAAACTCTATGTAGTATTACAATATGTGTTTTTAGTTGTTGAGTACTAAATGCATCAAATTCAGCTCTAACCTATGATTACCAATCTGTGGTTCTTTTAAAAAGTAACCTTACATCTACAATTTGAGGTATTCCATCACCTATGTTAAATGGGTTTAAATAAACTCACAAAAATTCTGAAGCAAAGGCATGGAAGTGATATACCACTACAGAAAGGCTTGTTTTATATGGCCAAAATTGTTTTATCGACAAAAATGTAGGTATTAAAGGAATTGTTTACATAAGGGAAGGAAATTGGCTTTCAACAGAAAGATGAACTTGCTCACA